TTTTTTTTTTAGAAAAATAGAATACTGTACAAAAAGAAAGAAATGGTGATAATCCAATGTGTAAAAGCAACAGAAAATAATTAGAAATAGATATACATAGCAACTAAGCAATTAAACATTGATTATATGGAATAATATTATTCAGTCTTTATGTCAATAAAGATCCATTTCAAAAGCAGAGAATAACATGATCTTCAGTTCAAGATTTTACATATAGCAATATCTGTCAAAGCTGAACAGTCTTTTCAGGTACACTTTTTCATCATGAATCTAAAGGTCCTCATAAATCCATACATTCCAAGATTCAATATTACATCAATGTTTAAGCCTTGTTTTCACCAAATCATTTTACCAACAGTATGAATATTAAACCAAATGAGACAACCACAGAAGAAACAGAAATTATCTTTGTGAAAATCCCCAATATATTATATTATTGTGTTTCCCCGAAAATAAGAGCCACCCTGAAAATAAGCCCTAGACTATTTTTGGGGGGTTGGGACTAATATAAGCCCTACCCCAAAAATAAGCACAAGCAGTAGCGAGTGCATGGGAGCTGATGATGTCTGGCAGCAGCTGCAGCTTGATAACCCCTAGTGCAGCACAGGTATGTCCAAGCATGGAGGCAGAGATGGGGGGGAGGTAGGCAATCTGAATGCGCCATGCACTTTTCACCCAGAGGGAGACTGGAAGCTTTTTCTACTTGTGAATGGAGCGCTTAGAAACTGAGCGATTCGCTCTGTCTCCAAGCGCCTTATTTGCAAATGGACGAAGCTTCCAGTCTCCGTCATTTCTCCATCCAGGTGAAAAATGCTTGGGTGCCTATGGGGCATTTGAAAACAGACTTCTTCATATCTTAGAAGCTTCATCAGTTGTATTGGATATTGTGGGAAATGGGAGGACAGTTATTGACAGTTGAGATGAGTTGGTGGAAGGGGGAATGACAGGTTCTGACAGGATGGTGGTGGTGGTGGTGGGGAAATGGAAAGATTGTGTTTTCTTTTGCAGTCAACTGGTCTTAACACTCTGTGAGAGCCATTGTGGTTACTTGGGGTTTTATCTGTGACCTCAGGGTCACCTGAATCAGAGGTGTGAAATCTTCTTGGAACAGCCAAAAGGATTGCATTGTAAATTGGGGATAGGTGGTGTCATTGAAGTCACCTGGAGGTTTATCTGTGTCGTCAGGGTTGCCTGAGTAGTGCAAATGGGAGTGGAGCCTTCCTTGAACTGTTGACTGTGTTGTAGATTAGAGATAGATGATGTTGTATCCCCCTCCCCCTCTGTTGAGAGAGGGCTGCTCAATGTTAACATGTTACCCCTCTTTCAAACAAATGGTCCCCTCTATCCAAGAGTGACTCTTGGCTTCCGGTTCTGGGTCGCGGTGCTGTGGTCGTGCGAAGAGATTCGTCTCTTCGCCAGCCGAGTTTCCTCCACTGGTGGACCCTTGATTGGGTGGAAAGTCGCCCTGGAGAGGCGACTACCATTGAGAAAGCTCCTCGTTTGACTGCAGAAGGGCGTCGTCGTCTTCTGCAGTCTGAGTAAGCTCCTTTGGGCTGATGAAATAAAGATCGGTCAGTAAAATGGCCGATCACTTAGCTGCACCAGCCATAAGCCACAAGAACATCTAAGCGAAATAGAACCACTGTGGAAGATTCAGTGAGACCTTTCCTTGCCTCTACTTTTCCTATTTACTCCTGTGAAAAGCCTTTTTGGAACTATTTCCCTATTTTGTTAAAGTGGCGTTGTTGATGGGGGAAGAAAAGCATTGGAACAAAAGAAAAAATAATTTCTACTTTTTAATGGTTGATTTTATTTTTGGACATCTGAAGTTCCGAAAAATCCTGTTATAGAGACTTAATATGCTAGTTATTTGGAGAATATTGCTTTCTTTTATTCTTTACTATTTTGTTAATTGAAGAAAAGAAGGAAAAGAGGAAAGAAATTATTTTTACTGGGGGTTTGGAAAGATTGAATAACTGGTTAACCCTTTGGGGACATCTTGTGAAATTACCCACTGCAATTGTTATTTCCTTTTCTTGGACTCTAAGTTTGACTTTGACCTTTGAATTATCACAAAAAGGAAAAGATAAAGAAGCTGTACAGCTGGGTGGGGGCGGATACTGACTGATTGTTATTAAATACAGCCTCCACCAAAAGAATAATGGCTCTAAACATTACTGAAATGGAGGAACCCTGCCTAGACTTTAACTACAAGTATATATTGGATAAAATTCTTGAAAATACTGAGCTAATAGTTGCCTGTACAAAAGAGATTATTTTTCAATGACAAATTAAAGCACAAGGTATAAATGAGCACTTTGCAGGCCAAGAAACAGTAGAGGGGTTATATACCCAAGAGACCTGTCCTCAACTTTACTTACAACTTACTGAGATGGAGGAATTAAATTCACATCTGGATTATCAACCTACATCCTCAGAAGGGCAAGCTGATGTGCAGAATCCAACTGATTTCTTGACAGATAAAAAATCAACAGAAGAAGAACAAAATAACACTAAAAAGGATTATACATCATTTTATATACAATCCATTCAGATTTTGGATGATTCAAAAGTGACTGCAATTAAACTACAGTACATGCAACTTCAAAAAGGATGGGGATTGAGGTCCAATTACGAGCTATCAAAAATCACTACAACTTTGTTACTAGCCTATTAAAATGGACAATGGGAGACTCTCCTTTGGTTTACGTATTACGGCAAGAGATGAAGGGAGACTTATTTGTGGATCTAGAGTCTTTATTATGGAAACCTGTTTGGAATAGAAAGAAAGCTAGAATAAGATATAAATATGGAATTTAAGATTACAGTTATGGTTTGCAAAGGCTTTATAGAGACGTGGATGGATTTGGATTTGGATTTTTAAAAAGTGTTATTAGGATAAGATTTAGAATTTAGTATTGAAATATAGTAAGAATATACTCTTTGGAATAATAGATCTTCCTCCTTTTCTCTTGTTTCCTCTTGGTCTGTTTCTTTTTTACTATTTTTTTCTATTTTCTTATGTTTTTTTATTATTAGGCATGATAATTAATTTGTGGAGCTATAATGAGAAAAAGATTGCAATAATGGAAGAGATCAAATTAATAAATGAAGAATTACTGAATAAGAAACAGAGTATAGTTGAGAAATGTAAGAATGTAATTATGGAAATAATATGTTTAAATAAGAGAAGTTAGAGACACCCAAATGGTAAATAATATGTATGTCTAAGGCTAAGTTGGATATGGTATTTGGAAATTAATAATAGCTAAAAACAGGATTTTGATTTAGATAGGTAATGAGTTGCTGATAACTTCTATTGATTAATGGAATTTTTATTTAGGAATGTATTAACAAATGAACTTCATTTAGAAATGTATTAATTTGACTATATTATTCTAATTGATAGAGAGGGAAATTTTAAAGAATATTATTTGAGCTGTATATTTATGATGTTATTATATTCAGCTGATTATGTTGGTTCTTAAGCATCTTGGTGCAAAAATGGAAAAACCAATAAAATTGTTTGGGAAAAAAAAGAGTGACTCTTATCTTTCAAATGCAGATGGTCCACTGAACCTTGCCCTGATGGGTTGGATCTCCTATGTTGTGCCATGGGCTTATGAAGCGGTTGCTTTGTTTCACCAGTGTACAGATCTGCACACGTCTCACTGCACTGTGTTGCATATACCACATTACTCAGTTTGTATCTAGGTGTTTTATCCTTGGGGTGGACAAGTTTCTGCCTTAATGTATTCTTGGGCTTAAAAAGTACAAGTATGTGATGTTGGTTGAAAATCCTCCTGAACATTTCAGATATTCCAGCAACATATGGAATAACAACTTTGCTCTATTTGTTATTCTCCTTCCTTGTCTGTAGTACAGGAGCTCATGCTGGGTCTTTTTTTTTTTTTTGCATTTGATAAGGGCCCAGTTAGGATAGTCACAAGTTCTGAGGGATTCTTCATGTGTCTTAGTTCTTTTTCTTTTCCTTCTTTACTGGTAGGCAAACTTTCAGCCCTGTGGTGGAGGGTTCTGATCACTCCCAATTTGTGTTTCAGTGGGTGGTGAGAATTAAAATGCAAATATTAATCAGTGTGGGATGATTTTCTGTAAACTTCAATGTTAAGGCCTCTGTCTTCCTTAATTGTGCACAGCACACTCCAGGAAACCCAGATAGTTTTCCTTAACATTTTCCCATGCAAACCTAATGTACAGTATCTGTCCACAGAGTTGATGTGTTGGTGAAGGATTCCACTTCCTGTGTTTTAATCTTGAGCCAAGTATCATCCACATACCTGTACCAGTGAGTTGGTGAAATTCCTGGGAATGAGTTTAAAAACCATTGTTGATACAACTATTACCTGGATGACTGAGAATCTTCATAGACATTTCTCCTGAATACTTGTTGAAATGTGCAATGAGCATGAAAAAGAATCCTTAGTTGAAATTGTTCATCTTAAAATCAAAAGATACTGCTATTTTAGATCTGTTAAAACAATATTCTAAAGTTCTTGGAATTTCAATATTGACAACATTTTTGCTGTCCATAAAAATGAACTATGAAAATCTTCCCCAACATGTTTCTAATAATACAATAATTTGTATATAATTACTTATGATGTCTATAACTACTTAAGTTATTGTTTACACATTGGGGCCAAAAAAATGTTTTAATCAAATGCACAACCATTAAGCAATACTAGGCAGCCCCAAATTTTTCAGGTAAAGATAACATTACCCTAGACTGGAACTTGCTTCTATCTTCTCTTGCTATGAGAAAGTAATGATGTGTTTATTAAAAAAGGCACATTGTCTTATCTTCTATAGATGAATAGAATATACAACTTTTTTGGTCTCTGAGACTAAATGTTGTGTCTAAAATTCCAAAGATCTTAGAGGGCAATTCTACATGCATCATGCATGGAGCCATGTTTCACAGAGTTGTAAGTAGATTTGGTCTGATTTTACACACATTTTTTCTTCACGTTCTTGCAGTGATCAGAAGCATAAAGCCAGGGAAAGTGACCTATTTTGAAGTCTGCAGAAGGAAGATATGCATGACTGAAGCTGCGTAAAGCTTCCAGTAATCTCTGATAGCATGAAGGATAGCAGCATCAATAAACCAAGTAAGACTTTTCTTACAAAACGAGTTTGGAAAAAAAAAGGTGTTTGGCAGAATAACAAAGACATCATAGTAGGAATCAAAGGGAAAAATATTACAGCTGATGGGACATACTATAGAGCATTGTTATGATTCAATGAATCAATTTACATGAATAGAACTATGAATACAAGTCTATTTTAAGGTGCTTTGTTAATCCACTAACTTATTCTTTGCTAATAAAAAATCATTTCAACTATAATACTGAAGTTGGAGAAGGATATATTCATAATCTAAGTTTCTTCTTGATAAAATTTAATCTTCAAAATACACATAGCCCACGCTTGGAGAGGCAGGATGGAAGAATGGATATTTTTACTATATTAAAGGTTTCTTGTTGCTGGAAGTATAAGAGAACTCAATAAATAGCTTTGCAAAGCAAGGTTCTTCAACTTGTTGCTCCTTAGACACACTGTCATCTTTCTCATCCATTGTTTGAAACAATTTAAGTTTGATTTACTTGGATTATCATCTTTGTACAGCCACTACATACAGTCAGCTGCTTCACCATCCAAGTCCCTTCTCTTTATTCTGTCTGTGGAGAACTCCATATTCTCTCAATAATGGACATTGATTTCCAGCAAAAGTGACTTTCATTTTCTGTGACTTGTGCAATGCTTACAGGTATGTAGCATATTTACCATTTAAGAAGATGGCTGAATGGTCTTTTCCTAGTGTTTCTCTTCTAGTTGTAAGTATCTTATTAATGTGAAAGTCCCCTCCACTTGTTCACTCACTAATTACTGCATGTTTTGAATCCATTAGATCAAGGGTTTCAAACTGCCGGCCCGTGGGCCGGACGCGTCACCGGGAAACTGCGCCCACCCCATTGCCGGCAATAGGGAAAAAGTTCCGATACATTGCATGACGTCATGTGACGTCGCAAGTTTGACATGTCTGCACTAGATGTTCCACATAATTAGGATGGACCAGGTTTTGTTTTATTTTGATCAAGGTCAATATTTTTACAAAAATAATCTGTTGAGAAACACACTACAAGTTGGGTGGCTGGGTCATTATTCTACCTGACATTTTTTCCCTGTTATCCCTACTTCTTCACTCTAGCAACCTTCCCACTTCCCCCCCCCCCGCTAGTTGTGAAGAGGCAGATCAGATTTTTTTCATTCAATAGTTGATTTCTTGTAAAAGATATCTGAAATTGGACTGAAGACCATATAAAAGCTAACTGACAGCTGCATTTGTATCTAGATCCATAGAATGTCACTCTTGTAAGATAGAAATGCATTCCCATGCATTTCTTGATACTGTCTGAACTTGCTAGTTTTCTTGCAGATTGTTTCATTACCAAAGTAGGCAGTATCATCAGTTCTAGCAGGGAGTGGAGTTTGCTCTTATTTCGTATTCTGGAGGCTTGTCCTCTCAGGGTTGATGAGACTGGTCTTGGTGGTTGTTTGGTTAGCTGTTTACTGTTAAATTGTTTAGCAGTCCTTGATTGGGGTATTATTTATTGATTGTGTCTACTGTAATGCATTAGGAATGTTATGCATTTCTGTATTACGGCACATCTACACAGTTGCTTTCCTATACTTGCCTACCATGCCATACTATTTATGAGAATATATATGGAACATATTGGAAGTTTGAATGTGCTTCCCCACTCCCTCCCTTTATCTTTTGTGAACTAGGGAGGGGCTACTATGAAATATTAACTCTTACCTTGGAGTTGGACCTCATTTATTTGACCTTTGTCTTTGTAGCAGCTTTTTCTCCTGTCCTAAAGGCCAATCCCTCTACATTCTTTGGCTGAAACTCATTATAAAGCCAGCCAGCCAGCCACTGGGCTGCTCAGGAAAGTTGCAGGAAAATTATGTTTTGTTATTGTGGCTGCAAACTTCTATTTAGCAGTGATGAAGATCCCTCCTTTCTCAAGCTAGATCTAGCAATAAGCCCCTTTCCCCTTGTTCCTTAAAAAGGAACAGAAGCTGGTTTCATTCCTTTGTGCTCAAACCCTTCTTCCCATTTTTCCTCCTGGAAGCAAAGATCTTCAGCTATTTCACTCTCTTGTTCTCCCTGCCCCCATATGCATGTGTTTTCTTCCTTGCAGAAGCCAGCTGGCTGATTTTTGGACCAGTCATAGTCTCTCAGCCCAACCCACTTCACAAGGTTTTTGTTTTGGGGAAAATAGGAGGAAGAAGTGGTATTAGATATGTTCACCGCCTTGAATTATTTCTAAAAATAATAATAAAGGAAGGATATAAATAAATAAACGAAACAATGAAAAGGATGACAAATCTTAAAACCTTGATTTAAGTTCTCATTGCTGTTCAGCATAGCCAGCCCAGCCAATCTCAGTGAACCTTCTTTGATTCCACTGTCATCTGAGGGAGTTTCCACTGAATAGATTGATCAATTGACCTTTTATTTAAAAAAAATTGTTATGGAGAGTAATTAGCTGCCAAATCAGCCAAAATTGGCTTAGCATGGACACAGCTGCAATAAATAAGCTTATACCCTCTGATGAAGATCAATTTTATGCTTTAGAAATTTAACCAGAAAAAAGAGAAAATATAGCAAATAGAAAGTCAAAAAAGATAGTAGTTGAAAAGCAATGTAACAAAAAGTAGTTTGGGGAGAAAATATACCTTTTTTTTAAAAAAAAAATAGAAGTATTTAAGTGAAGCATTTTGAAAAAAATGAAACATCTAGCCCAAAGCTGTTGGCTACGTACCACTGGAAAGCAATGGTCCTATCAAGAACAATAATTATTGTCATTCTTTTCTGCACAGAATACCAATGGCACAATGGCTCTTTGAACAAGCCCTGTCAGCTGCAATTGATTTAATGGGAACAATACCAATAAAAGACATTACATCCACATCACTTCTCTAGGTGACAGTCTCCGGAGAAAACTGACAGTGCCTGAGCTGATAAATATTTTAAAATCCCTTTTCTGTGCAGGCATTCTGAAACTCTGCAAGCAACAATAGCAAGGACTAGGGGAAAGAGGCTCTGCATATCAGAATAATTCTATAAAGAAATCTTTGAGAAAGAATGTATCTTAATTTAAGCAAACATGAATAGGAGGTACAAGAGGGGTGGGGTGGGGGGATTTGAAAAACCACTATAATAATCTGTTTGCCTGAGATTCAGACTTTTGCTACACACATATACAGTATAATATTAGTGCAGGTCTATCTGCTCCACACAACAGTAAAATTGGAATAAGAGCTTTGCCCTTGCAAATGGGACAACATGAAAATATATAAATCATGTCGAAGGACCTATGCAGTGGATTCTTCTCATGGTTCACTCCAATAGTCACAGGGACACAATGTTGTAAGGCAGGTATGATCCTAGGGTTTCTGACATGACCCAAATGCAACAACCTTGCTGATTGCTACACCTTTATAAGGGCTACATGCAATTTTATAAAAGATAGTCTAAACAACTCTTAAAAGATAATGAAACTCTGGATGGCAGAAAGGGGCTATGGGAATATACGTAAGTAATAACTTATTTACTTATTTTGGTCTGAAAAGCAACAGTTTACTCCCTGTATTCTTTCAGAGTTTCTTTTTCATAGGCAGTATCTCTTCCCATCTATTCCCAAGGTTATCCACATACCTTTTGGAAGGTTTGAACTAGAAGGAATCCAACTGTCATTTCAAAAAGACTTTTGACTACAATAAAGGCTTTTGAGCAAACTGAATTGCTGGGATTACAGGACAGGATCCTTCATGTTTTGGCAATTGGTTAAAAACTAGAAAATGAGAGTAGAAATAAATGAGCAATTATGAAAATGAGAAGTTATGCATGATGTCCCACCCCACTGCTAATTCAGACTCCTGCTTTTTAAGTATTATGCCAATGATGTGGCGTTCGAACTGAGAAAGTAGCCATGATCCCCAGTAATAACAAATCAGCCATAAATAAATTCAAAATAGGATTGTGGAGAGTTCCAGAATTATCTCTCCAAACTCAGTGAGTGAACTTCAGTGACATATCCAGTTCACTGTAATCAAGTATAAAATAATGCATTACAAGATGAAAAATCCCATTGTTCTCCTCTTGGAGTTAGCAGGAAAGGGATTTTGATAATTTTGGCCATTACACCTTAAGGATATTCTAGAACTGAAGAAGGTGTAAAAAGGGGAGCCAAAATGGGAAGGGAATTGGAGCAGATGGAGTGTTTTTCTTAGTTAATTAAAATAATAAATTGGAAGTGGGTGGCACCTAAGTCAAACTAAATAACTAAATAAATAATACTATAGCAATTAGAGCTCTTAATTGTAGAATTAAGGAGGGTAAAGGAAGACATGGAGAAGGTACATTAAATCTTGAATGACATAAGACACAGCCAGATGGCTGCATTAAAGTGCTACCTAGGAGTTTTTGAGCTGTCGTAAAAAATATATCATATAAAATTTGTTACCGTTATTGTGGGTCCCAATTTTGCTACAGTAGCAAGGCTGAGAATCAGTGCTATTTTAATGTGGGATAGTTAAGGAAAATAACTGGTGAACTCCAGTTTCAGTTCCCCTGAATCAAGGGTCACTTTCTGATAGGAAAACAACTACTCTTTGTTCTTGCTAATAACGAGTGGGGAAGGATTGAAAAAGTGTAGGTCAGGCATGTCAAACTGCCAGCCCACGGGCTGGATGCATCATACTAAAACCGCACTTACCCCATTGCTGGCAATGGGGAAAAAAGTTGTGATACATCGCACAACGTCATGTGACATCACGGGTTTGACATGCCTGGTGTAGGTGGATGCTTCATTGGAGTATTTAGCTACTTGTCAAGTTTCCTGACTAATAGGATATAGACACAGAAATGTTCTGTTTCTCTGACTTGTCAGTCAAGCTATTTCTGAACATGGGTCCAGCATTCTGGGAAAGGGACCTAACCTTGTGCCCAGATTAGCTTTACTGATGGAAAACATGAGGTGAAATGAGAAGGAGTTGCTGATAAAAAATCCCATTGTTCACTAATACTATAAGGAAA